TAAAAAACTGGASCTGYTTGACTCCTAAAATGGTACACGAGTTCTTTTCTGGTCTAAATCATGCCATCTCGTATCATTGAGTGGAGGAACTTCGCATCAATTGCATTAGGTTGCAGTGGCTTGTTGCTATAGATTTAATTCTGCAATAAACAATATAATTCTAGACTTGGCTTCCTTTWTAAAATTGGGCTTATTAAGTATWGAAACAGAGTCAAAAGGTTTCTGCTCGTAGCTTTCACATACACAGTATATACTGACTATCTTCAACATTCRCTACTTYTCAATAGAATCACAATGACTTCGGTTAGTKAATAACAATCCTACCGTTCCTCGAAAGGTTCGATATGGTCTGGCACAATATTCGAGCTTATCGGTACCCTCCGTACGCGTTGTCGAGTCTGTCCTTCTTAATTTCGAATTTGATGGCTTCGTTGAGTTTCTCGGCTCGGACCACTGCGGTTCTTCGGCGTTGCATCTTGGTGGCCCGTCGTGTGGCCAATCTAGCACGTGCCGTCAAAGCGACGGCGGCCTTGGTGTCGTTGGGRTCGGCCTTGGCAAGATCCTCGAGCGCCTTGGAATCGGAGGCCTTCATCAAACTCTCTTCGGCATCGTCTTCAACAGGGGTGGCGGGGCCACGGTTCAACGATGTTTGGAATCGCTTCAATGCAGTGTTGGTAGCAATTCGACGAAGAGTAGCTCTCTTCTTSGCCACCTGGGTTGCGGAGCTATCGGACGTCTTGCTGGCGACAAGGGCATCGACAGCTTCGTCTTCTTCATCCTCGGTATCCTCGTCGGAAAGGGTTGCCAAAGACTGGGCCTTGTCCATGGCAATATCCATGGTGATTCGACGCATAATCTCGGGTCTCTGAACGGGCAATGTGTGTTTCTTACTGAGAACAGCATCGGCGATCGTCTTCTTCCTGGCCAGTGTGGCGGCGATAACTTCCTCGTCTTCTTCTTCTTCCTCTTCCTCGTCTTCGTCTTCATCAGGGTTTTCGGCCTTGTAGATGGCCATTTGCTCTGCTCTCTTCTTCTTCAAGTGGTTGGGCATATCGAGTTCTTTGTCAAACAAAAGGAAGGCAATAACTCGGAGTGGGTTGTAGTTCTTCAACCAGAAGAWTGGCATGGCATCCCGGGATTCGTGTTCCATCTTCTCATCGATTTCGGTATCGTTTCTGAAGGCGTAGTGTTTGAGATGATGCTCGGTAGTTTTGATAACAACCTTCGAGTGGAATCGGAAGACGAAACTCATGATCAACGAAAGGGGAGGAAGGTATCCRTTGAAATACTCTCCGTGGTGGTACACCATAACACGTCCGTCGGGRAGGGTCTCGAACCCAAAATTGGTGACCATATCCCACATAACGTATCTTCCACCGAAGCATTCGTTCTTAAAACGCTCTCTCTTGTTAAACCATTTTCCAGCCTCGGTCCCGTCTCCATCTTCATCACTGTCAGAAAAGACCATGGAAAYGAGAAGTTCTCCAAATGGAAGACCCTGGGAGTGAACTGTACCTTCGTCATCGAAGTAACTTCCACGCATCATCAAGGTTCCCATGAWGGGCAAAATGCAGTAAAGATCCTATTTTCGTAGTATTTATTCAAGTTGTTGTGTGGTTTTGCAATGTGTATTTATTGCGTTCATTTGGTGTTGATTCGTTTGGTGCCATTTTGATTTTTCAAAAGAGACGGAATTGAATTTGGTGTGAGAAATCATGTAATTTCACGCATCGAATTTTTGCGTTTTCTTCGACCAGAATCCCTCCGAAAATGTAAACATGCATATTGATTATCTTCGGCAGTGCACGAAACACCAATGCTTCGTATCGTCGAGATACAAAGAACAGCCCGAYATGTTCATTTTCTTTTCCAACATTTCATCGATTTCATTCCGATGAATAAGCTTCGTAAAACGCGTGTAGTCACGACAGAATCCAGATTCTTGTGTCTACACTAGGAACAACTCAATGTTGCACGTACCATAAAGTTCTCACTTCCGTAAAAGTCAGCAAGATCGTCGGGGTCGACATCGACGATGAATCGATGGTCATAGAAATTGTCTTCTTGGCCATACATGGCGTGCAAAAGACCGGTGGCTCCGATCAAACCACCGACTATTGGCTTCCAGTTCCTCTTCAAGGGCTCTAGGGCACTACGAAGAATCTCGGGGTCCGGTCGAGAAATAAAGCTTCGGGTCTGCGTTTTCGAGGCACGGGYAAGATCCGCCAACTTCGTGGGGTTCTTGTTGTTTGCTCCCTTGAAGAGAGACGTCGACAAAAGCGACGAGGTTCCCCTCTTCGTGGCGATACGAGTGGCAGCAGCGGCGGAAAACATATTTCAGCGTATGGCTTGTTTGGTTGTAGATTTGGTTAATTGATAGGATAAAGAAAATATCCTCGGTGCTCGGAACCAATTTCTTCTCTTGCTACTTGAACGTTGTCGTTTTGTGGACTCGAMGTAACGTCTCTCGTCTGCTTTGCGAAGCGTTGCAGCGGGGTCTTTGTTGATACTGAAAACTTTTCTCTTCAGCACAGCATGGTATGTACGGTACATGGTACGTAGGTGCCCCCAGCCCCGGCCCCAGTACGAATTAGAACTGTTTTTTTTTGGTGTGATGATGGATTCTCAACTTCGCGCGCGGTAAAAAATCTGTTCTTTTCGATCGATTGGATTTGCAGACCACACGGYGGATTGTGCGATACACACATGCAGACGACACGTCAGCTAGCGGCTCGCCAACTTGCATCGAAATTGCATTGCKCAAAAACTGATTGAATCGAGGGACAGAGATTTAAGTTTATTCCCCCAGATTAAAGATACGCAACTCCCCTTTTTCACTTTCTCAACGGATAGAAAAACTAAAAACTGGATACGAAACCAGTCTGCCCTTTTTGTTTGCCTTCTCGGTACGGTACGGTACGGTACCGTAGCCAGACTAAAGAACAGGAAGTAGGTGGATTTGTGTATCTCCGAAACCAGTAGAGGTGATGAATGTYCCAGATTTTGAAACTATCAAGACAACCAACTTCATTGGCATAGAAATCCTTTCACTTGCAAACACCAATGGTTTCTCTGCTCAAGGAATTTCTACGAGCAAAGAGGGAAGTGGAGGAACGCAAGAAGCTGGAGAGAAYAGAGAACAAAAACAGGAGAACCATGGTACCGAAAGCAAATTTGATCGCCTTTCGCCTCATTTTGTTCGTGTTATTCATGGTTGCCATCGTGCGACCGGGATATGCGCCGCCCAAAGGACCGAAACTCCCCGAAGGTGTAAGTATCTGTAGTAATGTAATGTCACGWAGATTGGAAACAAACTAGAAGCATTCTTTGTTCTTGTTCTTTCCGTTTCGAATSAGATCAAGTCTCACTATCGTTTTYCCCCTGACGCTGGAATATTGATGTATAATAACATCTTTTRTTATTAAGTTYTGTGAACATGGTGATGTGACTGAGACGACGGGAGAATGCATGTGCCACTGGCAGCATAAGGTGCGTTCTGTTGTTTGTTTTGGTTCTGGTTGTTTTGTKTTGTGCCATAGACGTCTGCTTCCTGCCCCATCATGCCAATATTTCGCAARAATTATAACCCATGCCGTTTGTTTATTAATACGCGTCTCCATAAAATGCAAAAACGCGKGGTTTTTCCGAACMATTCGGATTGGCACAGGACGGATGCACCGGTTCGAAGTGCGAATATCAAATGGGACTCTCCTTTTATCATTACTCCTGTAAGGATTGCAAGTGTGTAAAAGAGCCCTAACCGAATAAAGATTGCGTCTTCWAACAAAGGCAAATAACGACAAATTGGAAACCAAATTATCGGTGGCGAAAATCGCGGATGGTTTGYATTCGTTCTTGAATTTTGTATTGAGTGAACGCAGATAACAGAAGGCACTAACATGCGAGCAAACATGCATTACGAACRATAGTAATGGTGTAAAAGACACATTTTTTGTCATCAATTTTTTGCAGTGACGGCACAATGATGTACAAACCAGAAGACAAGGGTTGCTGTTTGTACCCAACGAGTTACAAAATCAACTCGCTTGAATGAACAGTAATCCAACACYAATAAATTATACTAAAAAACAAAGTCGATACATGTAAGTGTGTCGTTGCTGTGAAAAAACAAAATTTTATTCAAATATTCTCAATGTGTATAGTGGAACACAAACTTGGAAATTGATTGCAGTCTATTGTTAGCTAGTTAGTTAGCAGGTGTCATTTGCRTCATCAAGTCACTGCGCTTGTCTTGTATGTATTGCGCAACCGCAATATGRTTGATGAGAGGGTAGGGAAAAAATTGAGTGATAGTCTGATCTTKTCGTATCCTTTCTAGGCACAGCACTTCGAACCATTGTTTTATGTACATATGTAGGTCGATGTGAAGTTATTGTGCCCACGTGGTATTCGCTGAAGGAGTGCTGGATAGCTTTATGAATGAGTTGGAACGAATCCATTGTTTGTATGTACTTGTGCAGAAATGMAAGATGTGTTTAGCAACATTTTCATATTTGAAACTCTAGTCGTCTCTTGTTTCGTCAWCCTCATCTTGGGTTTCTGTCAAAGTCGCAAGAGTAGCAATGCAAGATAACGGCACAGCTGATCTTGCATTTGATCGACAGCGAACAGKGTTTGCAGAGCAGGACGGAAAGAAGCTTGACTCATCGGCAAGCTCATCTTGAAAGTCAGCGAAGTGACCCCAGTCGTCCTCTTCGCTTTCGTTATCGCCATAATCACTTGAAGAAGACGAGGAGGAATAGCAACAGGTTTCCTCGTTATCATCKCCTCTCTCCCGATTCGTGTAAAGATTGGTTAGTGAAGATCTCAGTGTCTTGTCATCAAAATTGATCGGTGCTTGCTCAAAGGAGGAAGATGTAGCGAATGCAGTTGGGAATAGTGAAGCTGTGCTGCATTCCAGTTCTTTGAACAAGCTTCTGAAATATCGTTCGATGCTTACTGTCAAATGCAAAATTGGAAGAATAAAGTTTCGGAGCATGATACCTTCCAAACTAAACTGCTTGACGGAATGATACGTATCATGGTGGTAGTTGCAACTAGCAATTTCTTGTCCTGGTTCATCTTTGGTTTCTTTCTTGTTTTTGTCTAAAGATTGAGTAAATGTCACAGGCTCTTCTCTGACTTCTTGCAAAGGTGGGAGAGTGTTCGTGTCGGTCGCAAGTCGTGATAATGCCTGCGTTGCGGCGTCTTCTCGTAAATGAGATAGAGATGATGTTTGTTGTCCACGATACCTTAGCGTAGTRGAATTTCGTGCTGGAGATGAATAGCAACTACTACTATCGGAGCAAGAGGTCGACAAAGAATTGAAACTTGCTAGATCAAATGCTGATCTGCGGAGTCCGTTAGTGTAGGAATCTGGCGGGGAATTCTTCGCGCATGAAGAAGTGTCCGAATATCCTTTAGATGCTGCTGAGACATTCCGCCTGGAGTTTTGATGGGACTTCATTTCATTCTCCATTTCTCCCTCGTAGTAAAGACCGTGGTTGCGTTCCTGGAGCAGCATTCTGAATGTGATGGCTCTAATCTTTGGACTGGTGTTATGATCGACGAAATTATGCACAATGTTCACTGTTCGGGATGTTTCAGTGAGAAGAACTTATTACTGGAAGACCGATTCTTTTACAACGTAAGTTGGATGAAAACGTAGTTACAATGCTACGAAAAAAAATCATCGGATTCAAGTCATACTTTTCGGTTCTTTGTATTCCACAATACCTGAGCGAACAAGCATTCTAAATTGATGTACCGTATGTGTCCCCAGCTTTTGACACCCTCCGATGCCGTCACAGCCTTCGAAAAAGCGTGTGGCTCTAAAACCCTTTGGTTGGATAAATCGGTGGAGACGATTGAAGTTTCTGTTAAATATAACACCACATACCAATATTACGTCATTTAATGTTGTAGTCACGAAGCCCGGTACAACGAACATTTAGCGCTAGCTAATTAACACTACTTTTTTCAACACGTCAGAATGGAATAAAAAATAAATAAACTCCAATGCGATAAGGAACTGGCAGGAACAGAGATGTCAACAAAAGAAGAATGGAAAAAAGTTTCACTTTGAAACGAAGTGCGTAAGTTTCTTCCAACGTGCGTTCTGCCACTGTTCAACTTGATGGAATAAATCTACTATGAACTGMACGAGAGATGCTACTGTATGGTAAAATGAATCTTCTCCTCTTTTGGAAAAATGTTCTCTGTTTCTATTGCGAACTACAGTAGGCGGACGCAAGGTTTGGTTCATTGCCACGGWACGTACACTGCAACATACACTGTAATCGATTCCCACATACGTTTAATCCTGAATTTTCGTCGAATAAATTGACGTTGCGTTGCTGTTGATGGTCGAACAGTGACGTGAAGAGAAGTGAAAATTGAAAATTGCTATCACGGTTGTGAGGGCGATAGTGATTCATTCTTATGATAGACAATTGTTACTCGTTTCTTGTTGTTGTTTCGGTGTCAACAAGTTCTTGACGTCATTCAAGAAGTTGCGAGTACTCMTCGACTCTGGCATTCCTCAAATACAGAAGAGCTTTGCTCTAGCATCCTTCTTGTTCTTCATTTCCTTTTCTTACTGCCTCTCTTCACATKTTGTTGTCCTTGTTGTTGACAACCAGCACCAGCAGTAACTTTTTAAAATAGTACCATTAGCAGTTGTTTGCAAGTAGTAGTAGTACTGGTAATACTAGCAGTAGTAGTAGTAGTAGTACTATTACTGCTGCTTCTACTACTAGAGTAGATACTCTTGAGTGGCGCATGAAAACTCCATTTCTTTCCATCTTCTTTGGATTGCAATTGTACTAACAAGGAGGGAGAATGATGATCTATGCACGAGATACGTGTACTCTTGGTATGTTTAGTGTGTACAAAATTGAAATTATAAGATTAGAACTATTCTAAGATTACCACCAAGCGCGTTCACGAGAGTTCCAAAGTTCTGATCTGATCCCTGTGTAGATCTGGTACTGAATCTACACAAGGATTCTCTGTTCGGAGACTTCTGACATCTTTGTTCTTCGTGAGGTATTCTTTGTTGAATGGTATCTTGGACCTCTTAGGATCCTTTTGGCTGAGTTGTGGAGCATAAAATCTGACACTAATGGTTTCATAGAGCCAGGTGCCACCACAGTGTCCTAATAATAGATGATACCATCTGAGGGTGCTGTCTACTAGCTCAAAGGTGCCTATCTTCCTCTTAACATAGCGTTTTGGATCWGCTTCGAGTAGGTGTTGACACTGTGGATCCGTGAGCTGATAAGTGCTGTGGTAAAGGCTTGCATTTGTTATTGGATTTTCCATCTCTGATACTGGTGGTAAATTGAGCAAGCACTCATATAGTTCCGGTTCCAAATAGAATACATCTTCTGGATTGGCTTGGGCTGTTAATTCCTTGAAATCCACAACTGTTCCTTTCCTTTTCTCATATATTGTTCGTCCTTTATCCCCAACAGTGCACTGATCCATTCAGGGCACTCTAGAGAAACAATCAGCAAGGACATTGGTGTGCTTGACCTGGATGTATTTCCAAGTAATGTCAATCCCTTCAAGGGACAGCTTCCATCTGAGGACTCTCAACTGTGAAAGTGTCCTGAAGATAAGGTTCTTATGGTCAGTATAGATTTTGATTTTGCCACYGTACAGCATGATTCTGTATTCCTTGAGGCAAAGGATCACAGCCAACAGCTCCTTTTCCATTGTGGTGCAATTCCTCTGTGTTTTGTTGAGCTTCTTAGACCAATATGCAATAGGTCTTTGCTCTTGGAGTATTGCTGCTCCAAGCTGATACTAGTCTGAGGCGTCAGTGTAGATGTCAAAGGGTTTGTTGAGGTCTGCAAATGTGTTGATCGCATCATGGGCAAGGAGGGCTTTCATTTCATTGAATGATTGATTGCACTGAGGCGTCCAGATGTAAGGACTAGAGCCAGTTAGGGCTGTCAGTGGAGCAAGTACATGTGACTTCCTYGGCCACATGGATTTGTAGTAGTTCACGGCACCCAAGAAGGATCTGACCTGCTGTTGGTTTTGGGGGACTCCCATCTTCAGGATGCCATCCACTTTCTTTTGCCATGGTTTAACACCAATGGGGRTGAGCCAAYATCCCAGGAAATCAGATTCCTTTACGGCCCATTCACATTTCAATGGATTGCACTTCATCCCATTCGATGCTAGATGTTGAAGGACTGGGTCGACCAGAGACAGGTGTTTGCTGAATGGTCTTCTGGACCAGATACCCATATCATCAATATACACTTCAACATCAAGGTTCACCAGAATCTTGGTGATAAATGCTTGGGCATAATCTGGAGATGATTTAAGGCCCATTGGTAATTGTAGGCATCTGTAGTTSCCATGGGTCRTGGTGAGTGTGCAGATCTTTTGGCTAGCCTCATCCAGTTCAAAGCAATAAAACATCATCGACAAATCAATCTTTGTGAAATGATCATACTGTTTTCTTTGGTTCATGATGTCTTGGATTTTGGGGAGATTGAACTGGGGTCTCTTGATCCTCTTGTTTAATTCTCTGAGATCAACAAGCCACCTGACTCATCCATCCTTTTTTGGAATGATAAAGGCTGGAAAACCCCATTCTGAATTGCCAGCAGGAGCTATCACTCCTTCATTCACTAGGTGCTGGCACTCCCGTTTGAAGACATCCTCGTGTCTTTAAGGGACTGGATATGGTCTTATGTAGACTGGTCTGGTATCCTCTCTTAGATCTATATGGATCTTCTCGTGAGGATATCTACCAAGCTTGCCATCAAACAACTCCTGGTGCTTGGCTAACATCTCCTTGAATGCTAGTCTTTCTGTATGATTCATGTGCTCCTGTTGGTCTGCAACCTGCTTTGGAGTCACTTTCTGGTATTGCGCGTCCAGTATTCTGTTGAGCTCTGTTCCTCCAGTAGCTCTGGCAGCATCTGCTGCTAGTAAGTAACTGTCCGATCTGGCTGCACGTCTGCAGTCTTGTTGTCGGCAGCTTGGAGGGAGTAGATGAAACTCGACGAATCCTCCATTGAGAAATTCATCATCATCTGCCAGCCACATGGCCTCTGCCACCTGCTGGGG